TCCAGCCTGATCCTCCCTGCCCATCCCGGAGCCGGGAATGCCACTCTGGGAATTCACAAATGGAATTTTCTCCCTTTTTTTTCCCCTTTTTCCCAGTCGGAGAAACCGCGAGGCTTCGCCCGAGGCTTCGAGCCGGAGCGAATCATCGGCGCCACAGATTCCAGCGGGGAGCTGATGTTCCTGATGAAGTGGTGAGGAGGGACCCTCTGGATCTGCACAAGGGTCAGGGAAGGGTTTGGAGCTGCTGAGGGAATGGGAATGTTGGTCCTGGAGAAAAAGGGGTCAGGAGGGACCTTCTGTGTCTGCACAAGGGTCAGGGAAGGGTTTGGAGCTGCTGAGGGAATGGGAATGTTGGTCCTGGAGAAATGGGGACCAGGAGGGACATTCTGTGTCTGCACAAGGGTCAGGGAAGGGTTTGGAGCTGCTGAGGGAGTGGGAATGTTGGTCCTGGAGAAATGGGGACCAGGAGGGACCTTCTGGGTCAGGAGGGGACATCAGGCTCTGACCCCAGGGAACGGCCAGGGTCAGGGATTTGGGGTTGGCTCAGGGGTTAGGGTCAGGGTTTAAGTTTAGGGTTAGGGGTTAGTGTTTAGGGTTAGGGCTTCAGGTTAGGGTTTAGGGTTAGGGTTTAGGGTTAGGGTTGGGGTTTAGGGTCAGGGTTTAGGGTTGGGGTTTAGGGTCAGGGTTTAGGGTTGGGGTTTAGGGTCAGGGTTTAGGGTTGGGGTTTAGGGTCAGGGTTTAGGGTTGGGGTTTAGGGTTAGGGTCGGGGTTTAGGGTTAGGGTCAGGCTTTAGGGTCAAGTTTTAGGGTTAGGGTCAGGGTTTAGGGTTGGGGTTTAGGGTTAGGGTCAGGCTTTAGGGTTGGGGTTTAGGGTTAGGGTTTAGGGTTAGGGTCAGGCTTTAGGATCAGGCTTTAGGGTTAGGGTCAGGGTTTAGGGTCCGGGTCAGGCTTTAGGGTTGGGGTTTAGGGTTAGGGTCAGGCTTTAGGGTCAGGTTTTAGGGTTAGGGTCAGGCTTTAGGGTTAGGGTCAGGGTTTAGGGTTGGGGTTTAGGGTTAGGGTCAGGGTTTAGGGTTGGGGTTAGGGACATTTGGGACATCCAGAACCCCTCAGGAATGCCATCCTCCTCCTGTTCCCGTCCCTGACTCGCTGTGCTCTCCCCCGCAGGAAGAACTCGGACGAGGCCGACCTGGTGCCCGCCAAGGAAGCCAACATCAAGTGCCCGCAGGTGGTGATCTCGTTCTACGAGGAGCGGTTGACATGGCACTCCTACCCCTCAGAGGACGATGACAAGAAGGAGGACAAGAACTAAGCCCTGGTTGTCCCCTCTCGGGCAGCTCTCGGGGTTTTTTTTGGGAAGACGATCCGAACTTTTGTGGGGTGTGAGCAAAGGAGGGGTTTGGAGGTGCCCTTGGAAGAGCCCCCCAGGCCCGGTGTCTGCGCCCTGCAGCCACTCCTCTGCTCCCTGCCGTGTCCAGATTCCCAGCAGAATCCCGTGGAATTCCCGATTCCACGGGCGGGGGGGAGGGAGAGCCCGGGGGGATATGGCAAGCTTGGGATCGGGTGGGAATTGCGGGCTGGGGAGGGTCTCAGAGCAGTGGGAGTGGAAACCAAGCCCCTTCCATGAAGGACTCGCCGGGATGGCCGGGCTGGGGTTGGGATTGGGATTGGGAATGCAGGCGGATCCTGCTTCCCCCCACAGCCCATCCCGCAGCCCCAGCCTTGTTCCCAATAGTGTTAACTCTGCATTTTTAAGGCGTAGCATGTGTGTAGGTCTTCTGATTCGGATTCTTACCTTCCTTTTTCCTTTTTCTTCTTTTCTTTTTTTTTTCTTTTTTTTTTTTTTTTTTGGCTATTTCCTGGTGTTATCCTTTGGGAAGGAAGGGAGGGATTTTGGGGCGAATTCAATCACTTTTAATTAAGGAGGTCTGGTGATGACATTCCCAGATCGTTTCCATATTTTTGGGTTTGTAGTTTTTTGTTTTTTGTTTTTTTTTTTTAAAGAACCTGAATTTGGTCTTTTTTCTAAAAAAAAACATGAATTCAGCAAAGAAAATCAATTAATTAAGAAAAAATTAAGGGAGGAAGGGAGAAGATCCCAGAATTGCTGCCAGAACTGGGGGACAGAGACACTGAAACTGTGAATGTCCAAAATCTCCGGAGCTAATCCTCGAGCGATTTTTAGGGGGAATTTTTGGGGGAAAGGGGTGGGGGGGGAATTTTTGGGGTGGGAGGGGACGAAGGGGAGACTTTGTGAAAATGCAACTTTGTGATTCTGTATCGTCCTGCAGCAGAACTGCCACTCCTGACACGTGCATTGTATGGGGGGGGGTGATGGATTTTAACCCTTTTATTGCCTTTTTAACCCTTTTGTTTTTCCGTTCTAAGGTGCTATTTCTCCAAATTGGGTGGGGGAAAAAAAATCCCAAAAAAAAAAAAAAATTTCCTGAATTTCTGACCACTTGTTCTTTTTCCCACTCTGGATTTTCCTGCCCAGCCAGCCAGGGAGGGAACGTGGGAGGGAGAGGAGCCAACAGCAGCACAAGGAAAAATCCAATCAATCCCAATTTCTCCCCGAGGCGAGGTTGGAGCTGCTTCCCCAGAACCTCGTGGGGGGCGGGGGTTTTGATTTTTGAAATCAGATTTATTTCCCAAATCCTGAACTATTTAAGTGACTCCAGGGGTGGGATCTCGACGTGCATTGTACAAACCTTTTTTATGAGCATGTGTTTGGGTTCCTGTGCAAAACTCCGTGTGCAAATGTAAAAGTTCGTGTTTGGATTTTAACTTCATACCGAGCTCTGTCCAGTTTTTATTTTGGATTTTTTTTTTTGTTTTGTTTCGATTTTTTTTTTTTTGGTCTCAATAAAATTTTAGATTTATAATCCTGATTTTAAAATTTTTTTTTTTAAATTATTTAAATTATTTTTTAATGATTTCTTTACCTTGCTCCCTTTCCTCCAGCGCTGAGTGACCGGGTAGAGCAGGAGCCGGAGGGAAGGTGAGCCCTGAGCCGGGGTAGAGCTTTGGAGAAGGTTCTGGAGAAGGTTCTGGAGCAGGTTCTGGGGTGTTTTGGCTCCGGCTGCAGAGGAGAGGCCGAGCAGAGCCTGGCCTGGCGCGGGGAGCGTGGCTGGGTAAGTGACCCCCGGGGCCCGGCCGAGGTTGGGTCAGCCTGGAGAGGAGAGCGCCGAGCTCCTGCAGGAGGAGGAGGAGGAGGAGGGCTCCTGCAGGAGGAGGAAGGCTCTGGGAGGAGGAAGAAGGTTCTTGGATGAGCAGGAAGGTTCTTGGAGGAGGAGGAAGATTCTTGGAGGAGGAGGAGGGCTCCTGGAGGAGGAGGAAGGCTCTGGGAAGTGGAAGGTTCTTGGAGGAGGAGGAGGGCTCCTCGATGACGAGGAAGGTTCTTGGAGGAGGAGGAGGAGGGCTCCTGGAGGAAGAGGAAGGCTCTAGGAGGAGGAAGGTTCTTGGAGGAGGATGGTGGCTCCTGGAGGAGGATGGTGGTGTTTCCTGGAAGAGGAGGAGGAGGAAAGTTCCTGGAGGAGGAGGAAGGTTCTTGGAGGAGGATGGTGGTTTCTGGAGGAGGAAGAGGAGGGCTTCTGGAGGAGGAGGAAGGTTCTTGGAGGAGGATGGTGGTTTCTGGAGGAGGAAGAGGAGGGCTTCTGGAGGAGGAGGAAGGTTCTTGGAGGAGGATGGTGGCTCCTGGAAGAGGAGGAGGAGGATGGTGGTTCCTGGAGGAGGGCTCCTAGAAGAGGAGGAGGAAGATTCTTGGAGGAGGATGGTGGTTCCTGGAGGAGGAAGAGGAGGGCTTCTGGAGGAGGAGGAAGGTTCTTGGAGGAGGATGGTGGCTCCTGGAAGAGGAGGAGGATGGTGGCCCCTGGAGGAGGATGGCTCCTGGAGGATGGTGGTTCCTGGAGGAGGAGGAGGATGGTGGCTCCTGGAGGAGGAAGATGGCTCCGGGAGAAAGGTGATGGTTCCTGGAGGAAGAGGATGGAAGCCGGACCTTCCCCAGGCTCCAAAGGCCCCGGGCTCAGCTGGAGCTTCCCGATGGATTTGGGCGCGGGGCAGGAGCCGTGAGAGCTCAGGAGCGCAGGGAGATCCCGGGAGGAGCAGTGGATCCCTTCGGTGGATCCCTTCCCTGGGATTTTCTGGGATCCAGCCCCTGAGGAATATCTGGAATCATCACCCAGGAGGAGAGCGGGGAGATCCTTGGATCCAGCGTGGAGTCAGTGTGGATCTGGTGTGGATCCAGTTTGGATTTATTGTGGATCTGATGTGGATCTGGTGTGGATTTATTGTGGATCCGGTGTGGATCTGGTGTGGATCTGATGTGGATCGTTTGGATTTATTGTGGATCCCAAAGAGGGGCTTGGTGCTGCTTTTCCAGGGAAAATCCACGGGAAACGCTCCAAGAGCTGCTTGGACCCTCGGAAGAGTTTCTGCTTCTCCTTTTCCTCCTTCTTCTCCCTTCTCCTTTCTTCTCCTTTTTATCCCAGTTTTTCTTCCTTCTCCTTCCTTTCCCTTCTTTTTTCTTCTCCTTCTTTCTCCCTCTCCTTCTTTCTTCTCCTTTTTCCTTCTCCTTTTCATTCAATTTTTCCTTCTTTCCTTTTCCTTATTTTCCTTCTTTTTTCTTCTCCTTTTCCTTCTCTTTCTTTCTTCTCCTTTTTCCTTCTCCTTTTCCTCCTAGATTTTCTTCCTTGTCCTTTCTCCTTCTTTTTCCTTCTCCTTTTTCTTTCTTTCCTTCTTTTTCCTTCTCCTTTTTCTTTTTTTTTCCTTCTTCTTTCCCTTTTCCTTTTTCTCTCCTCCTTCTTTTTCCTTCTTCTTTTCATTCCAGTTTTTCTTCCTTCTCCTTTTTCCTTCTTTTTCCTTTTCCTTCTCCATCCCCTGCAGGGTTGAACAACTCCCTCCCATCCAAACTGGATCCACAGCAGCTGTGATGGCAGAAAATCCCCTGAATTCCCAAAATTCCATCCTCAAATCCCAAATAAAACCCCTCGGAGCCGAGGCTGGTACAGTGAATAAGCCGTTTTTATTTTTTTTTTTTTAATTTTTTTTTTTTGTCCTGTGCTCACAACAATCTCTCTTCTCTCCCTGACAGGTCACAGATCATTCAAATCAAAAAAAAAAAGAGTTTCTAAGAGGAAACAAAAAAGAAATAATTTAAAGCACACGCACAGGGCTCTCTCTCCCTTCCAACCTCCCCACATCCCAACTTGTGCTTCATTCCTGGGGACCGGAGGGGCTCGAGGCTCCCACCGGCCAATCCCAGCTCCAAGCATTCCCGAAAAAACCTGGAAAACATTCCCACGAACCCACACGCATCGTGCCAGCGGGCCTTCCCTGCTGCTTCTCCAGGTGCAAGGACCACCCTGGAGCCTGCTCGGATCCCGTGCACAGGACCGGCTCGGAAAAGCCGTTATTTCGTTTTATTCATTTTTTTAAGCTTTTTTTTTTTTAATTTATTATTTCTATTTTTTTTTTAATTTCTATTTTGGTTTTTTTTTGTGTGTTTTGTTTTGTTTTCTCTGGTTGCTGGTAAAGTCAGAACGCTCCCAGCTGTGCTATATGGAAATACAGCTCTAGGACGGTCTCCGAGGTGTGGAGACCTGACAGTGATCAAGGCACTACCCCCACCCCCCTCCTGAAAAACAAAGGAAGTCAGACCAACACCTCTAGGGACAGAAGAGAATCCTATAATGTCATCACACGGTTACACGGAATCTTTATGGCAAAGAGAACATTGAGCAGCTTTCAACGTTTGGGCTTCTCCCTTTTTTTTTAATTTTTTTGGCTTTTTTTTTTTACTTTTTGTAATTTTTTTTTAGGTTTTTTTGTTTGTTTTTTACTCAACACAAGCAACTTCTAGACCCTAAAAGGGAGGAGGGAAAAAAAAAAAAACAAATCAAGGCTGGAACCCCCAAAAAAACCCCAAAAAAGCGTGGTTACAGGGAGCTGCAGCTGTGTAACGCTCGAGGGGACAGCCCCGGTTGGCATCGGGGTCCCAGCGCTCCCCTTGTGCTGTTCCTGACCCAAAACCCCTTCCCAGGAGAGGCAGGCGGGGGCTGAGCGCTGGGGAAGGATCCTGCTGCTCCTCCCTCCCTTTCCCCATCCCAAAGCTCTGCAGATCCCCCCTCCTTGTCCTTTCCCCGGGCTGGAAAGGGTTAATGGGAGTCCCGCCTGGCTCTGCTCTGCTCGGGATGGAAAGGGTTAATGGAAGCCACGCCGCTTTTTTTGCTTTTTTTGTGTCTCTCCACGTGTGCCCTGGTCTGATCTCCATCGAGGAAGGAGAAATCTGGAATATCTCACACACACCGATGGCAAAAAAAAAAAAACGGGGTCGGGATAAAAGGAAAAAAGGGGAAAAAAAAACCCAAAAAGAACAAAAAAAAAAAAAAAAAAAATTAAAAACAACCAACTACCTGAAATCACAGAACTTTGGAAGTTCAGAAAAACGTCTCTCCTATAGCTTGGTTTGAAGTCCATTCGCTTAAATCTCTTTTTTTTTCTTATTTTTTGTTTTTTTTTCTCTTACTTAAAGCCAGTTCCTAACAGTAGTTTTGTTTTTTGTTTTTTTTTTTCTTGTGGGGAATTTTTTTTGTCGATTTTTTTTTTTTGTGGTTTTTTTTTTTGTTTTTTTTTTTTAACGTTTTTATCCACCTGTGTGTCAACCTCCCCAGCAGCGATGCCAAGCTCGTCCCTGCTCTCCCAGCACCCCGGTGGCAGCTGGGCTTGGGGCGGGTGGGCTCCGTCCCCCTCCCCGTCATCCCGGGCCGGCCGCTCCCGCAGAGTCCCCGGCGCGCCGCGTGCGCGTGGAGAAGACAGAATCGATAAGAAGGCATCAAAGTTCCCTCCGCAAGCACCTCCAGGCTCGGCCCTCGTGTCCCAGCTCTCCCTTCCGCCGCCGTCACTTCCTGCGGTCCTTCTGCTTGCGCTCGGGGCGGCGCGGCTGCGGCTCGGCGGGCGCGCGCGGGATCAGCAGCACGCTGCCGTCGCTGCCGTACTGCAGCGCGTAGCGGCTGGGCGAGTAGGGCCGGCCCTGCTCGTCCCGCAGCCGCCCGAACACCTCCTGGTACAGGCTCTGCACCTTCTGCTTCATCTGCCGGATGGACTTGAGGAACTCCACCTTCTCCCTGAGCAGTTTGGACTTGTCGCGCTGCAGCTCCTCCACGTCGCGCTCCAGGTTGAGGATGGTGTCCAGCTTCCTCTTGCGGCAGTTCTGCGCCGCCATCTTGTTCTTGCCGCGCCGGCGGATGTCGCGGATGAGGCTGAGCTGCGCCTCGCTCAGCTGGTACTTGGACAGCAGCTCGTTGAACTCCTCCACGGGCAGGTTGATGATCTTGTCGTTGGTGAAGGGGATCTTCATGGCCCTGGCGCGGTGCTCGTCGCGGCTCAGCTGCTTGTCCAGCAGCTCCGACGGTTTCTCCTTGCCGCTCTTCTTGCCGGCGCCGGGCGCTTTGGGCTCCTCGGGGTCCAGCGCGCCCGGGGCCATGTTGTAGGTGTGGTTGTGGCCCACGTGCTCCAGGTAAGGCAGGTAGTGCAGCTGCGCCGGGTCCTGGTAGCTCATGCGGCAGAACTTGCTGTACTCTGGCTGGTAGCCAACCGCCCCTTCCGCCTCCTCCAAGTCCACGTTCTCCGAGTCCGAGCTGTAGCCCACGGCGCCTTCCTCGGAAAACGAGGAGGAGGACGAGGACGAAGAGGAAGAGGACGACGAGGACGAAGCTTCGGAGCTGCTGAGGGACGCGGGGCTGTGGCCGGAATCCAGGGAAAGACCTGAGTCGGAATCGAACTCCTCTTCCAGCTGCGAGGCCTGCACGGGGTTGAAGCCCTCCTCGATGGCCAGGTCCATCAGGCTGATCTCATCCAGCATGGCCTCGTCCAGCAGCCCCCCCAGGGGGTCGGGCAGCTCGGGCCCGGCCGTCTCGTTGGCCGTGCCGTTCATCTGCGGCGGGAAGAAGATCCCGCTCAGGTTGGTGGAGCCGAAGGTGCCGTTGAGGCCGGTGGAGTTGTCGGGCGCCAGCTGCAGCAGGGCCGAGCCGCCCGCCATGGAGGGGCTCTCCATGTCCGAGCTGAAGAGGGAGAAGTCCTGGGAGCAGCTGCCCAGCGAGGCCTGATGCAGGCTGACGTTCTGGTTGATGGGCGTGCCGGGGGCCAGGCTGTAGTTGGACGCCAGCAGGTCCCCACCGCTGCTGCCGCCGTAGAGGCTCTCGGCGCTCGTGCTGTTCACCTCCATGGCCTGCAAGAGACGGGCACGGCTCGCCGGAGCAGCTCTGGCACCGGGCACGGCCTTGCCAGAGGAGCTCCGGCACCGGGGATGGCCTCGCCAGAGGAGCTCCGGCACCGGGGACGGCCTCGCCGCGCCGGCCGGGAGCCCAACTCCCGCGGCCGCACCTGCAGGGACGAGGCCCTTCCCGCCCCTCCCGGAGCTCACCTGCATCTCCATGATGGACATCAGGTCCTGCCACTGCTGCTCCAGGTCGAAGGGCGACTCGGTCTCGGCCAGCAGAGGGGACAGCAGGCTCGGGGCGCCGCCCGGGGCGCGGCTCTGCCCGGGCACGGCTTCGCTCAGGGCGGAGACATCCGCAGCTGGGAACTGAGCACGGCAGGGAGTCAGGGCTGGCACCTCGGGGACGCTCGGGGATTCACGGGGACGCTCAGGGATGCTCGGGAACAGTCAGGGATGCTCAGGGATTCTCAGGGATGGACACTCAGGGATGCTCAGGAACATTCAGGGATTCTCAGGGATGGACACTCAGGAATGTTCAGAGATGCTCAGGGATGAGCAGGGATGGATGCTCAAGGATGCATATGGATTTTTAGGAATTCTCATGGATGGATCCTCAGGGATGCACAAGGATTCTCAGGCATGGGGGCTCAGGAATGCAGAGGGATGTTCAGGGATTCTCAGGGATGGATTCTCAGGCGTGGGGGCTTGGGGATGCACATGGATGTTCAGGGATGTTCAGGGATTCTCAGGGATGGATTCTCAGGGCTGGGGGCTCAGGAATGCACATGATGTTCAGGGATTCTCAGGGATGGATTCTCAGGGCTGGGGGCTCAGGAATGCACAGGGATGTTCAGGGATGTTCAGGGATTCAGCCACCCGCAGCCCATCGCCCTTCCCGCCCGCTTTGCCGTGAACTAACGAGGAGCAAAGCCAGGAGGTTTTAATTAACCGAGGCCGCCCCTCCCCGCGTGGTTTCGCAGGGGGCCTGGAGCCTCCTGGAGCGGCCAAACCCAATTTGCTGCTGCGGGAGAAGCACGGGAGGCACCGAAAGCGCAGCGAGAGAGGCAGCGAGAGCCTGGGGATCCACCCCGTGGGCTCACCTCGGAGCTGTCCCCGAAGGGGAAGGTGGCCTCCAGCAGCCTAAGGCACTCCTCCAGGGACAGGGCGGTCTGGTCCTCCGCTCCGGGCACCTGGGGGGACAGCAGAGACACGGGCTGGGCGCCACGGCCTTGGCAGCTGCTGCCCGGGAGGAATCAGCTCCCTTCCAGCAGGGCTGGATCGCAGCGCATCCAAAAAAGAGCCAGAGCCCCACCCAGTGCTCCTGTGCTGGCTCCATCCTCCCGCTGCTCCGGGCTACGGGAAAGCGCCAGCGCCGCCGCTGCCGGCCAGCCTGCCGTGCCTGCTGTCCCTGCCCTGCTGTCCCTGCTGTCCCTGCCCTGCTGTCCCTGCTGTCCCTGCTGTCCCTGCTGTCCCTGCTGTCCCCTCCGGCCACACAGCCCAGGGGCACTCTGCGGCTGCCCCAGGGGACACGGCCGGCCCTGCCCAAAGCCGCTGCCCACCTGGGCAGACCCTGCTGCTGCTGCTGCTGCTGCGGGAGCGGCCCCGGCACCGGCAGCACCGGGGAGCCCCGGGAGGGCAAACCCCACTGCTGCTGCTGCTGCTGCTGCTGCGGGAGCGGCCCCGCGCAGGCACCGGCACCGGCACCAGCAGCACCGGGGAGCCCCGGGAGGGCAAACCCCACTGCTGCTGCTGCTGCTGCTGCGGGAGCGGCACCGGCACCGGCAGCACCGGGGAGCCCCGGGAGCACAGCCCCAGCACGGCCGGCCCGGGGCGTTACCTGCGCAGGGAAACTCTCCCCGGTCTCTCCATCAACTAGCGGGATTCTATCCAAGACCTCATTCCCTGCACTCCTCCAGCTGTCCCCGCGCTCCCTCCCATCGCTCAGCTCTTTGTCCACTTCGCTCTCTTTCTGTCGGTGGCTGTAGTCAAAAATCTCTCGCCCAGCGCCGAGATCGATATCCTGTCTCCACAGGATGTCAATCAAATCGATGTCCTGCAAGACAGACCACATTGCCTTCAGCGCCCCCGGCCTGGGGAGGGGTCCCCACCCAGCGGCCCCTCCCCGGGGACCCCCCGGCCCGGCCCGCAGCGCACCCGGGGCCGGGCCCCGCTCTGCCGCCGCCGCGGGCACCGGGCGGGCCGGGAGCGGCTCGGCATGGCCGGCGCTGCCGTGCCCGCCGCCCATGGCCGCCCGCCCGCCGCCGGGGGCCGCCCGGGCCCGCGTCGCGGCGGTGGCTGCGCCGTGCCCGCCTTGCATCAGCCCGTGGTGCCATCCCGGCCATTTGCATAAGGGGTGGGGTGGCAGGAAAATCCCCGCATTCCCACCCACCTGATGCAACTCCGGCCGCTCCGCCGGGCCCCGGCCCGCTGCCCGCCGCCGCCGGGCTGCCCGCAGCCCCCCCGCCCGGGCATCCCCGCCGCTGCTCGGGGCGGCCCCGGTACCTTTCTCATGTCCCCAGCTGCCGCCCGGGCCGCGGCGCACGCCGATCATGGTCCCCGGGGGAGGAAGAGGAGGAGGAGGAGGAGGAGGCGGCGGCGGGGCGGGCTGGCCGGGGCGCGGCGCCGCGCACGCATCGCCGGCCGGGGCGGCGGCAGCGGCGGCGGCGGCAGCGGCGGGGGAGCCGCGCTCCGCTCCGCCCCACCGGCCACAGGTGCCCGCGCGGCCCCGCTGCGGCGGCAGCAGCCGCCCCCGCCCCCGGTGCGGAGGATGCTGCTGTGGCTGCGGCGGCGGCCCCCGGGGCCGGGAGGGGCTCGGCGGGGCCGGGAAGGACCGGGAGGGGCTCGGGAGGGACCGGGAGGGGCTCGGCGGGGCCGCCCCCCCCCCCCCCCCCCCCCCGCCGTTCCCGGCTGCGGCGGCCGCCAAGCCCCGCCCCCTCCGCCAGGCCCCGCCCCTCCCCGCCGGGATGCGGCGCTCCCGGGCCACGCCCCCTCCGCCGACGGCCCCGCCCCGCCCCGGGCGGTGGCCGCGACCAATCAGCGCCAACGGGGGCTGCCGCCCTGACCAATCAGCGGCGGCGGGGGCCGCCGGCTCAGCCAATCAGCGCGTCGCGCGGCGCCCACCGGGCCGCGCCCCCGCCCTGGCGCAGCGGGGCCGCCCCGCCCCCCCCCGGCCCCGCCCGCGCCGCACCGGGACCGGGAACGGGAACGGGAACGGGAACGGGGGGGGGAGCACCGGGACCCCCGCCCGGGACCCGCACAGCCCGCCGGCACCTCGGCCCCGACCCCCGGCACGCCCCGGCCCGCGACCCCCGGTGAGCCCCTGCCCCTGCTGCCCCCGGTGCTGCTGGGCGCGGGCACGCCCCGGTAACGGCGGCCAAGTGTAAGGAGATCCCCCGGGCGGGGGGGGTTGGGACGGCGCTGAGCCCCCGCAGCTCATCACATGCCCCACGTATTTTTATCCTCGTGTTGTGGAAACGGCCCCGGGCACGGAGCCGCGGCCGCCCTCCCCACCCCCAATGCTGCAGAGGGAAGCGCTGGGATTTAATCCCAGCTTTGTCCTTAGGCCCGGCTCAAAACCCGCATTTTTTTATCCGTGGGATAAAAATCAAGTGGGTTTCATAATTCCCCTGAACCTCCCCCCCACACCCCGCTCCAGCCCCGCCCGCTCTCCGGGTGCTGCAACGCCCAAAAAAAGAAAAAAAAAATTATCTATGTATTAAAAAAAATCCCGCACAGCATTCCCGGAGCGAGTTCCAGCTTCCCAAAATTATTTATATCGCCCGTATTCCCCCGGCAAGGTCGCGCCTGGACCGCGCACAACCCACCGGGAGTCGCAATGTGCCAGGAAAAAGTCATGGAAAAATTCCCAGCCCGGCCCCGGAGCCATCCGCAGCTCCATCCCCGCCCGGGCCGGGCCCGCCGCTCCCGGGGCATTCCCGGCGGGAATGTTCCCCGCTCCCCGCCTTTTCCGGGGAGTCGGGGTGGAAAATCGCAGCCTAACAAAAAAATAAAATAAATAAAATAACCCCAAAAGGAAAATGCGGGAGGGGAGGAGAGCGGCGGGATGGGGTGAGGGAGTGACGTGGGAGCCGCGCTCGGGATTTCCTGGAGCCACGGCGGCCTCGGGAACCGGGAAAACGGAGCCGGGAGAGCGGGGAAATCCGGGATTGCGGAGAAATCGGGAAAACGGAGCTGGGGGAGAACAGGAAAATCCGGGATTTGGGGGGAAATAATGGGAAACAGAGCTGGGGGAGAGCAGGAAAATCCGGGATTGTGGGGAAATAATGGGAAATAGAGCTGGGAGAGAGCAGGAAAATCCGGGATTTGGGGGGAAATAATGGGAAACAGAGCTGGGAGAGAACAGGAAAATCCCGGGATTTTGGGGAAATCATGGCAAACAGAGCCCTGAGAACAAGCAGGGATGCAGGAAAAGCCGGGATCAGGGAGGAAATGAAGGAAAACAGAGCCCCGAGGACGAGGGGGATGCGGGAAGGGCCGGGATCTCCCCCACCCCACCTCTCTGCCCCCAAATCCCCTAAAAATCCTGGGAAAATGCAGCTCCCGGCCTCTCTGCCCCCAAAATCCTGGAAAATGGCAGCTCCCGGCTTCTCTGCCCCCATATCCCCTAAAAATCCTATAAAACAACAGCTCTCAGCATCTCTGCCCCCAAAATCCTGGAAAGCGGCAGCTCCCCCCAGGGCCCCCAAAATGCGATCCCGGTTTTCCTGCCCCAAAGCTGCTCAGAGCCCGGAATCCCAAATTCGGGAAGGGCGGCGGAGCTCTCCCCGGTGACCTTGCACAAGGCCAGGATCCGGCGGGACCCGCTGTTCCCGAGGCCGGGAATTCCTCCCGGGGAATCCCCAGGGATCGGCACAAGGTGGGACCCTCGGCACAAGGTGGGACCCTCAGCCTCGTGTCCCTCTGGCACCTCCGGGGCTTTCCCCCAGGGAATGGGGGTGACATTCCCAGGGAATGAGGGTGACATTCCCAGAGAATGGGCAGGGAATGGGGGTGACATTCCCAGGGAATGGGGTGACATTCCCAGGGCCGGCTCCATCCCCTCCAGTCTGTCCCTGCAGCATTCCCAGTACTTGCCACAGCCCGACCCCGATCCTGACCCTGATCCAATCCTGATTCCGATCCTATTCCTGACCCTGATCCCAGTCCTGACCCTGATCCCAGTCCTGACCCTGATCCAATCCCGATTCCGATCCTATTCCTGACTCTTATCCCAATCCTGACCCTGATCCCGATCCTGACCCTGATCCTGACCCTGACCCTGATCCAATCCCGATTCCGATCCTGTTCCTGATCCTGATCCCAGTCCTGATCCTGATCCCAGTCCTGACCCTGATCCCAGTCCTGACCCTGATCCCAGTCCTGACCCTGATCCAATCCCGATTCCGATCCTATTCCTGACCCTGATCCAAATCCCGATCCTAATCCTGACCCTGATCCCAGTCCTGACCCTGATCCCAATCCTGACCCTGATCCAATCCTGATTCCGATCCTATTCCTGACCCTGATCCCAATCCCGATCCTGACCCTGACCCCAATCCCAATCCCGATCCCTGCTGCAGCACAAGGCAGCGGCTCCCCCTGCCCCACTGGGAGGGCAGAGCCACCCTGGAAGGACCTGGGGCCATGGATCAGCACTGACACCCCCATTCCATAACCCTGGAAGGACCTGGATCAACACTGACACCCCCATTCCACACACCTGGAAGGACCTGGATCAGCACTGACATCCCCATTCCATGACCCTGGAAGGACCCGAGGATCCCGGGGTGAGGAAGCTCAGCCGCAGCTCCCGGGGCTGGAATTGCATCCCGGCCTTCCCAAAGCTCCAGGCTCAGGCAGGAAAACCAAACCCGACCCTGCCCAGCCCGCTGGGGAGGGAAACTGAGGCAGGAACCGAATTTTGGGGAGGGAAACCCAGCCAGGAACCGAATTTTGGGGAGGGAAACAGAGCCAGGAACCAAATTCTGAGGATAAAAAGTGAGCCAGGAACTGAATTTTGGGGAGGGAAACTGAGTGAAGAACAGAATTCTGGGGAGGAAAACAGGAACTGAATTCTGGGGATGAAAACTGAGTGAGGAACTGAATTTTGGGGAGGTAAACTGAATAAGGAACTGAATTCTGGGGTGGAAAAGTGAGGAACTGAATTCGGGGGAGGAAAAGTGAGGAGCTGAATTTTGGGAGGAAAATTGAGTGAGGAACTGAATTTTAGGAGGAAAACTGAGGGAGGAACTGAACTTTGGGAGGAAAACTCGGGGAGGAACCGAATTCTGGGGAGGAAAATTGAGAACCTGAACTTTGGGAGGAGAACTGGGGCAGGAACAGACTCCTGGGGAGGAAAACTGAGTGAAGAACTGAACTTTGGGAGGAGAACGGAGGCAGGCCCGGCTCCTGGCCGGGCTCCAGCCCAGCCACCCAACCACACCTGGGCCAGGGCTGTTTCCCAACGCTGCTGTTGATTTCCCAGCTGGATCGCTCTTTCCCAATCCCCAGAGTCACGAGGGGCCCCCAGCTCCTTCCCCCTCCTTTCACTGCTGCCCTGGAGCCAGAACAGGGCAGAGAAAAAGGGAAAAGCACCCCAGAATTACCCTGGAATTACTGACACCTGCCCTGATCCAGCACTGGAGCCAGAACAGGGCAGAGAAAAAGGGAAAAGCACCCTGGAATTACTGACATCTGCCCTGATCCAGCACTGACACCCCATTCCATACACCTGGAAGGACCCAAGGCCATGGATCAGCACCGACAACCTCTCTCCATGACCCTGGAAGGACCCAAAGCCATGGATCAGCACCAACACCTCCATTCCATGACCCTGGAAGGACCTGAGGCCATGGATCAGGCCCAAAACTCTCTCTCCATGACCCTGGAAGAACCTGGGGCCATGGATCAGCACCGACACCCGCATTCCGTGACCCTGGAAGGACCTGGGGCCCTGGATCAGCACTGACACCCTCTCTCCATGACCCTGGAAGGACCCAAGGCCATGGATCAGGCCCAAAACTCTCTCTCCATGACCCTGGAAGAACCTGGGGCCATGGATCAGCACCGACACACCTGGAAGGACCCAAGGCCATGGATCAGGCCCAAAACTCTCTCTCAATGACCCTGGAAGGACCTGAGGCCATGGATCATCACCGACAACCTCTCTCCATGACCCTGGAAGGACCTGGGGCCATGGATCAGCACCAACACCTCCATTCCATGACCCTGGAAGGACCCAAGGCCTTGGATCAGCACCAACACCCTTTCTCCATGACCCTGGAAGGACCCAAAGCCATGGATCAGGCCCAAAACTCTCTCTCCATGACCCTGGAAAGACCTGGGGCCATGGATCAGGCCCAACACTCTCTCTCCATGACCCTGGAAGGACCTGGGGCCATGGATCAGCACCGCCACCCTCTCTCCACAACCACAATCCAGCACTGTACCATCAAACACATCAACACCCAAACCCACCCCCCAAACCCCCCGAAAACCCCCAAACCCCCACTCCCCACTTCCTTTCCCCCAAACCCCTGTTCCCTACCTCCTTGGTGAGATCCGCGCTGCCGGGCGCCGCCACGGCCCCCAGATCCTCCATGTCCTCCCCGAAGCCCTGCTCGGCCGCGGGGTCCCGGGCGCTGCCGTCGCCGCCGGAGCCGTCCTGCAGCGGCCCGGCCGCCCCGGGCTGGCCGGCGGCGGGCACGGCGGCCTCGGGGTCGCGGTGCACCAGCCAGGCGCTGACGCGGGCGCGGGGCACGCGCAGCCGGTCCAGGCTGAGCAGGCGGCGCGCGCCCAGCAGCCCCTCCAGCCCCTCCAGCCCCGCGCTCTTCGGGGGCAGCCCATGGCCGGCCCAGGGCCCGCGCAGGCGGTGGAACTGCGTCTGCGTGTAGGCCGAGCTCTGGCCCAGGATGATCTCCCGCAGCGGCGGCAGCTGCGAGCTCAGGTACGTGTCCACGTCCACGCGCACGCCCACCAGGCTCAGCAGGATGGTGAACTGGATCAGGCCCTCCGTGAAGTACTTCTTCAGGGACAGCATCTCTGCGACAGGGAAAACAAAATAAAGTTAATAAAAATGAAATTTTGGGGATGGACAGTGAGGCTGAGCAACATGGTAAGCTGTATCAGGCCTTCCGTGAAGTATTTCTTCAGGGAGAGCATCTCTGGGGGAGAGAAAAGCGAAATAAAGTTAATAAAAACCAAATTTTGGGGATGGACAGTGAGGCTGAGCAAGGTTGTGAACTGTATCTGTCCTTCTGCGAAGTGTTTCTTCAGAGAGAGAAAAGCAAAATAAAATTAATTAAAAAAATCACAAAGGTTGGGGATGGACAGTGAGACTGAGCAGGATGGTGAGCTGGATCAGGCCTTCTGTAAAGTATTTCTTCAGGCAAAGCATCTCTGGGAAACAGAAAACAAAATAAAGTTAATAAAAAAAACACAAAGATTGAGAATGGACAGGGAGGCTGAGCAAGGCGGTGAGCTGGATCAGGCCTTTCGTGAAGTATTTCTTCAGGGAGGGAAAAACCAAATAAAATTAATTAAAAGCACAAAGATTGAGGATGGACAACAAGGCTGAGCAAGGTGGTGAACTGGATCAGGTTTTCTGTGAAGTGTTTCTTCAGGGACAGCATCTCTGAGGGAGGGAAATAAAATAAAGTTAATGAAAACCAAAGTGTGGGGATGGAGAGGCTGAGCAGGATGGTGAACTGGAAGTATTTTCTTCGGGGAGAGCATCTGCGGGGCAGAGGAAACAAAACAAAATTAATTAAAAGCACAGCAAAGGTTGAGGTTGGGGATGGAAAGTGAGGGAAACAGGATCAGGCCTTCTGTAAAGTATTTCTTCAGAAAGAGAATCTCTGGTGGAGGGGAAAACAAATGAAAATGAATAAAAAAATAAAGACCGAGGTTGGGGAGGGAGAAGGAGGGAAGGCGAAGCCTCCACAACAGGTTGGGTGGGTTTGGCTCTGCTCTGCCCCACTTTCAGGCAGTTTCTGCCCTTCAGGGCACAGCCAAAAACCGGGAGGAAAGTTTAAAGAAGGCTCAAAAGGTTTTTAGTTCAACGAGGCTCGGTTTTCCTGTGCGAAAACCAGGAAATTGGAGCGCGGAGAAGCGGAGAAAATCAAAGTTTAAAGGAGGGAGCTGCCCCGGCAGCTCCACCCTCGCCTTGATTTTTGTTTTTATGCCAGGCGGAATTCCCGATCCCTGTGACTTACTGTCCCAAAACTCCTCATGCAGCGACTTTCCGTGTCCCCCGCAGCTCCGGGACGGGCTCTGCTCCTTCCTCCGCTCCTCCTCCTCCTCTCTCCCGACGCTTTCTGCCTTTTTCTGCTCCTTTTATGAGTCAAAGGTCCCGAGCATGGGAAGGTCCAAAGCCTGCGACGCTCCCGGCTGCGATTTCATCAGCAGCTGCAACGCAACCACAGAGCAAACTCGGTACCACCGGGGCACCACCCCGCTGGCCGCGCCTTCTCCCGGCCGAATCCCGGGAATCCCGCCGCAATTCCCGGTTTTCCTGCCCGGCCCGGGCTCCCTCCGCTGCTCTCCGCGCTCCCCCTGCCCGAGCTATTCTTAGGCAGCTGCGTCAACTTCCCGCCGGCCCCAGGAACCCGCCTGCCTTTCCGCCTTGCCGCGCCGGGGCTTTTCCACGGAAAACCGGGAATGCTCCCGCTGCCGCTGCCACCGGGGCGGCTCCCGCCGTGCGCGCCCGCAGCGGGGGATGCCGAGCTGGCGGCTCCCGGATTTTTGGGGGGGTGTGTGTATAGGGGGGGTACCCCTGGTTGGTTTTTTGGGGGGTTCCCAATGTGGGGGCGCCACGTGCGCGCCCCGTTCCCGTTCCCGGTCCCGGTACCGGGGCCCTTTAAGGCCCCACGTGACCTCCCCCCCCTTCCAGGCGCGGCCACGTGACCCCGCCCCACCCGCGCGCGCTCCCGCGGCCTCGCCGTCCCCCTCAGAGCGCGGCCGGCCCCGCCCCAAGCGCGCCGCCGCCCTCGCCACCGCCGCCACCTCCGCACGCCACCTCCCCGCACCCTCCGCCGCAGATTGCGGTACCCGCCGGGCTCCGCCGCCGCCGCTCCGGCCCCGCCGCCACCGCCGCCGCCGCTCCCGCTCCCCGCCCCGGCCCAACCGCCCCCCCCACCCCGCCGCCAATCACCGCCCGCCGAGGGGAGGCGAGAGCGCGGCGCGGGCCAATGGGAAGCGAGCGGCGGAGAGTGCCTCCCGCCTCCCCGGCGCTGCTTTGACTGGCAGGCGAACTGACCAATAGGCGAGCGAAAAGGCGCGGGCGGCCCTCGCGCTCGGCGCGGGCGAGCCAATGGGGAATCAGAAGCGGGGAAGTGCGGCTCGCCCCGCTGCGTGCTTGATTAACAGCGCGTCCATCCAATGGCGCGTAAAATCCCCAATGAGTGACAGCCGCGCGAACCAATGAGAAGCCGCAAAGGATTTGAGTGGCAGCGGCGCGCACCAATCGCTTTCTCCCCGCAGCGGTTGCCATGGCAACGGGCGGGGTGAGGCCGCCATGGCGGCGCTGGCGCTCTGAGGGCCGGAGCCGCTGCCCCGCCGCCCCCTCAGCCCCGCTGCCCCCGGGAGCTCCCAGCGCCCTCACAGCCCTGGATGGTGCTGCTGGGGAGCCTCCCAGGGGCACACAGGGACAGCCGGGCCGGAGCGATGTTTTGTGATTTATGGGGCGGGCATTGTCGCATGGATCCACACAGAATTCCTGCCCCTTCTTCCCTTCCCGCATGGATTCCTGTGGAATTCCTGCCCTTCCCACATGGATCCACATGGGATTCCTGCCCTTCCCTTCTCCATTTGGGATTCCTGCCCCTTCTCCTATTCCCACATGGATCCACATGGGATTCCTGCCCTTCCCTTCTCCATGTGGGATTCCTGCCCTTCCCACATGGATCCACATGGAATTCCTGCCCCTTCTCCCATTCCCACATGGATCCACACAGGATTCCTGCCCTTCCCTGCTCCATGTGGGATTCCTGCCCATCCCTGCTCCCTGCATGGAATTCCTGCCCCTTCTTCCCTTCCCACATGGATCCACACGGGATTCTTGCCTTGCCCCACATGGATGTGGGATTCCTGCCCGTTCTCCCACTCCCACACGGATCCACAGAGGATTCCTGCCCACACGCCCCAATCCTGCCATTCCTGCCCATCCCAGACACCCTTCCCTGCCCCACAAACCTGCCGGGACGAACGGGATGCCACAGGTGCTGCTTCATCCCAGGAAAAAAAAACAACAAACAAAAACACGGAAAAAGCGGCGTGGGATCCACACCTCGCGGCAGGGTGAGCCTGGCCAGCTTTTCCCAGGGTTTTCCCAGGGTTTTCCCAGGGTTTTCCCAGGGTTTTCCAGGCTCTTTGTGCTCCCCAAAAACCTGCAGAGATCCAGGGAGACAAGGGAAGGTGTTGGAGAGGCTGGAAGTGCCCAGACCCCGGAGATTTTGGGTCATGTGCTCCCCAAACACTCCCTGGGTGGATTTTGGGGGTGTTTTCCACCCTAAACCCATCCTGGGCTGGATTTTGGGGCTGTTTCCCATCCTGGGTTGGATTTTGGGGGTCTTGCCCCAGCAGGTTAAAGATTTGAGGGTGTTTTCCACCCTAAATCCATCCTGGGTTGGATTTTGGGGGTGTTTTCCACCCTGAACCCCCCCAGGGTTGGATTTTGGGGGTATTTTCCGTCCTAAACCCCCCTGGGATGGAGATTTGGGGGTATTTTCCACCCTAAATCCATCCCGGGTTGGATTTCGGAGGTGTTGCCCCAGCAGTTGAAGATTTGGGGGTGTTTTCCACCCTAAATCCCCCTGGGTTGGATTTTGGGGGTGTTTTCCACTCTAAACCCTCCCAGGACTGGATTTTGGGGATGATGCCCACCCTAAACCCATCCTGGGTTGGATTTTGGGGCTGTTTTCCACCCCAAATTCCCGCAGGGTTGGAACAGGGGGTGTCTGGCAGCCCCCCAAACCCCTCCCGGGGCAGTTTCCAGCTGGGAACCCGAGCCGGGCTGTCCCTCCCGGGTTATTTTTAGTGTCCCCAGGGCTGTTTGGGGACAGCTGGCCCTGTCCCCGTGCCCACCTCGTGCCACTGAGGGGGGCACCGAGCCCCTTCCCCGCCTTTTCCTCCCAGGAAAACGCTGCAGCACCAAAATTAAAGCAAAAATTTTCCCAAACAAGGCAAAATTTGGGTGAGCCACCAGAAAATTCCAGGCCGGGAGAGCTCAGGGAATGGGAGCAGGGACTGGGAATATTTGGAATTATTTGGGATGGATCCAGGAGCCCCTTCCCTGTTTTTTAATCCCCAGGAAAACGCTCCAGCCCCAGAAATGAAAGCAAACAAAGGAAGTTTTGGGTGAGTCACCAGAAGATTCCAGGCTGGGAGAGCTGAGGGAATGGGAGGAGGGACTGGGATTGTTTGGGATGGATCCAGGAGCTCCTTCCCGGGCCTGGGATCCTCCCCCAGCGTTGATGAGATCCAGGGATTAATTAAGCACTAATGAAGTTTGTGTTTTCCAGCTGGATCCAGCCACAATTAAAGATTTTCTTGCCCAATCCGGTGTCGGGTGGCTTTTTGGGATATTTATGGGGTTTTGTTGTTAAATCCCAATCTTTAGGGAGCGATCACTTCCATGGGGCAGCACAGGGGTCCCGTGGGGCCGGGACCCCCCACTCCCCATGGATGTTCCCTACAGACTCCCCCAAACCTTGGGACAACCGTCCTGAGGACACCCCAACATTGGGGTCACCCTTTTTGGGACCCCCTAACCCCACAGACCCCTCCCCACATTGGGATCACCCCTTTTTGGGAACCCCGACCCCACAGACCCCTCCCCACTTTGGGATCACCCCATTTTTGTGAACCCCCGACCCCACAGACCCCTCCCCACTTTGGGATCACCCCATTTTTGTGAGCCCCCCCACCCCCCAACCCTACAGAGCCCCCCGGGCTGGCACAGCCTGGCCAGGGCCCCCACGCTCCCATGGCACCCCAAAATGCGCTCTTGGCACCCCAAAATCCGCCCCCGGGACCCCAAAATCCGATCCTTGCAACCCAAAATCCGCCCCTGGCACCCCAAAATCCGATACTTGCACCCCAAAATCCGCCCCCGGGACCCTCAAATCCGCCCCTGGCTCCCAAAAATCCGCCTCTGGCACCCCAAAATCCACCCCCGGGACCCCAAAATCCGCCCCGCCGCGGCCCCAGCGCGGCTCCTTCCCAGTGCTCCTTGCGACACCGGGTTGATTTGCATAGCCCCGCCCATTACAGCAACGAGTATCCTTATAAGGTGTTTGACCACGCCCATTCCCGCCTTGGCCCCGCCCCCTGGTGCCCCGCCCCGGTCGCGCATTCGCGGTCCTGCACCGCCACCTGCCGGCGGCTCCGCGGCAGCGCGCGGGGCCCCGCCCTGACCCCCCAAACCGGGACCCCCCCCCGACCCCCCCAAACCGGGACCCCCCTCCGGGACCCCGTCCTGAGCCCCCAAAACGGGACCCCCCCTCCGGGACCCCGCCCTGAGCCCCCCAAACCGGGACAGCCCCTCCGGGACCCTGCACTGACCCCCCCAAACCGGGACCCCCCCTCCGGGACCCCGCCCTGACCCCCCCAAACCGGGACAGACGGAGGGACATTAATTCATTAATTGCTCATTAATGTCACGTCAGACCGGGGGGAGGTGACACCGCCGGGGGGCGGGGCATCTGTCGGAGTGGGTGTGGTCAGTGCGTGACGTCACTGGGCGTGGGGGGCTCTGGGGGGGTTTTGGGGTGTTCGGGGTGTTCGGGGACCGCCCTCGGCGGCGACAGCGCCCACCCACCGCCCGCTCTGCTGGGAAATGGAACCCCCGGGGCACCCAAAGGTGCGGGGCTGGTGACCCCGAGCCCCTCCCCCCACTCTCCTGTCCCATCCCTGTCCCCATCCTTGTCCCCAACCTTGTTCCTGTCCCTGTCCTTGTCTCTGTCCCCATCCCCATCCCTGTCCCCATCCTTGTCCCCATCCCTGCCCCCGTCCCCGTCCCCGCCCCAAGCCCAGCTCCATGTGACACCAAATTTGGGTTTATTCGGCGACACCCCCGGGTGCGCAGGGGGGGCTAGGAGGGGCAGGACACCCTGGGGACCCCCCGTGTCCCCAGGTGTCACAGTGTCACACTCTGATGTCCCCAGTGTCACATGGATGTCCTCAGTGTCACACGTTGACGCCCATCAGGTTCACCGGGCGCCCCCCGTAGCGCTTGGAGATGTCGGCCTCGATCTGCAACGGCACCAGGGGGGCTCGGGGGGGCTCAGGGGTGGCTCGGGGGTGCTCAAGGGGCTCTTGGGGCTCTTGAGGGGCTCAGGGGGCTCTTGGGGGACTTGAGGTTGCTCAGGGGGGCTCAGGGGATCTCAGGGAGCTCAGGGGAGCTCAGGGGGACTCGAAGGGAGCTCAGGGGGCTCTCGGGGGCTCAGGGGGCTCTTGGGGAGCTCAGGGGGACTCGGGGGGCTCTTGGGGGGCTCAGGGGGCTCTTGGGGACCTCAGGGAGGCTCAGAGGGGCTCAGGGGTGCTCGGAGTGGTTCGAGGGGGCCCAGGGGGGCTTAGGGGGATTTGGGGGACTCGGGGGGTGCTCAGGGGGGCCCAGGGGGCTCTTGGGTGGCTCAAGGGGCTCTTGGGGTGCTCAGGGGGACTCAGTGGGGCTCTTGGGGGGCTCTTGGGGTTCTTGAGGGGACTCGGGGTGGCTCGAGGGGGCTTGGAGTGGATTGGGGGGGGCTCAAGGGGCTCATGGGGCCTCAGGGGGTCTCAGAGGGCTCTTGGGGGCCTTGGGGTGCTCAGGGGGGCTCTTGGGATCCCGGGGGTCTCTCGGGGGTCTCTCGGGGTCCCCCCGTGGCTCACCAGCCGCTGCAGCTCCCGCGCGCTCTCCTGCAGCCGCTGCAGCCGCGGCTCCAGCGCCGCCTGCTCGGCCAGGGCCCGACTGCGCCGCTGCGCCAGCGCCGCTCGCTTGGCCTGCAGCAGCTCAGCCTGCAGCAAACGCTGCCGCAGCAACGCAGCCACGCGGCCCACGTACCTGTGGGGGGGACAGTGGGGTCACTGCAGGACAGGGGACAATGGGGACATTGGGGTCACTGTGGGGTGCAGGACATGGGGACACGGGACAGTGAGGGGGTCACCGCAGGATGGGGACAGTGGGGACACTGCAGGATGGGGACAGCACAGGGGACAGTGGGGTCACCGCAGGGCATGGGACAGTGGGGACAGTGGGGACACTGAAGGACAGGGGACAGTGGGGACAGTGGGGTCACCGCAGGATGGGACAGCACAGGGGTCACTGCAGGACAGGGGACAATGGGGACACTGGGGACACCACAGCACAGGGGACAGCAGGGTCACAGCAGGGCGGGGGACATGGGACGGCACAGGGGTCACCATAGTGGGGGGACACTGGGGACACTGCAGGACAGGGGACAGTGGGGTCACCACGGGGCAGGGAACAGTGGGGACACTGCAGGATGGGGGACAATGGGGACAGGGCCATTTTGGGGCAGTTTGGGGCTGTTTTGGGGCAGTTTAGGACTGTTTTGGTGCAGTTTGGGGCAGTTTCGGGCTGTTTCGGGGCAGTTTGGGGCCGTTTCGGGGCAGTTTAGGGCCATTTTGGGGCGGTTTGTCCCGTCTCAGGGCGGTTTGTCCCGTCTCAGGGCAGTCCCCCACCTGGGCGAGGCGAGGATCATGCAGAGGTGCTGCGTGCTGCGGGAGCAGAGCTGCCCCAGCAGCTCCCGTGCAGTGCCCAGCTGCGCCTGCAGCCGCTGGTGGCTCTGGCCCTGCAGCGCCGCCGGGGCCATCTGCAGCTGCGACATGGCCACCACATCGTCCTCGTCCTCCAGCTCCTGCAGCCGCTGCGCCAGGAACAGCTCCAGCTGCAACGGGGCACGGCCGGGTCAGGGTGAAGGGACACCAAAGGGACACCAAAGGGACACCAAAGGGACACCAAAGGGACACCAACAGGGACACCAACAGGGACAGCAAAGGGACAGCAACAGGGACACCAAAGGGACAGCAAAGGGACAGCAAAGGGACAGCAAAGGGACACCAAAGGGACAGCAAAGGGACAGCAAAGGGACAGCAACAGGGACAGCAAAGGGACACCAAAGGGACACCAAAGGGACAGCAAAGGGACAGCAACAGGGACACCAAAGGGACAGCAAAGGGACAGCAAAGGGACAGCAAAGGGACACCAAAGGGACAGCAAAGGGACAGCAACAGGGACACCAAAGGGACAGCAAAGGGACAGCAAAGGGACAGCAACAGGGACAGCAAAGGGACACCAAAGGGACACCAAAGGGACAGCAACAGGGACAGCAAAGGGACACCAAAGGGACAGCAACAGGGACAGCAAAGGGACAGCAAAGGGTCATCAACAGGAAAACCAACAGGGTCATCAACAGGGACACCAACAGGGACACCAAAGGGACACCAAAGGGACACCAACAGGGACACCAAAGGGACACCAAAGGGACACCAAAGGGACACCAACAGGGACACCAAAGGGACAGCAACAGGGACACCAACAGGGCCACCAAAGGGACACCAACAGGGTCATCAACAGGGTCACCAACAGGGCCACCACCAGTGTCCCCCGGCGCCCACCTCCATCAGCTCGTCGATGAACTGGTTCCGTGTCTCGGGGTTCTCCAGCAGGGTCAGCGCGTCCGAGCCACGGGCAACGTCCTCGGGGGCTGCCGTGGGGTGGGACCCCAAATTCAGCTCAGCTTCACCCCAGGGAGACCAAAACCCTGCCCAGCACCCAAAAACCCTGCCCAGCACCCAAAATCCCTGCCCAGCACCCAAAAATCCCTGCCCAGCACCCACCCCAAACCCCCCGGGGTGTCCAGGGGCACCGGGAACGGGGAATTTGGGGGGATTTGGGACCCCCAGCCCTGCTCACCCTCAGTTCCAGCCTCCAGCACGGTGATTGTCCCCTCCTGTCCCCCTTCGTCACCCCAGTCGATGCCATCGTCCCCCTGAGGAACAGAGGGTGACAAAGGGGGACAAAGGGGGTTTGGGGACAAAGGGACACCCCTGGCTCTGGGGATGTCACCCACCTGGGGGCTGGGCTCTGCTGGGATTGTCCCCTCCTGTCCCTTCTCTCCATCGCCCCAGTCGATGCCATCGTCCCCCTGAGGAAGGAAAGGTGACACAGGCGGGGTTTGGGGACACAGGGACATCGCCCCAGTCGATGCCACCATTCCCCTGGGGAACAAAGGTGGCAAAGGGTGACACAGGCAGGATCTGGGGACACCGGGACATCACCCACCTGGGGCCCGGCCGGCACCGCGATGTCGCAGACGGTGTCACCGCCACCACCGCCGGTGTCCCCACCCCGGGGCGGCTCGGCGGGGAAATCCCCCCAGTCGATCTGCGGGGACAGCCCGGGACAGCGCTGGGACACGGCCCGACCCGACCCCGCCCGCCAGAGCCACCCGGGGCACTCCCCGTGTCCCCCGGGGCACCCACGTGTCACCCACCGTGTTCCCCGTGTCCCCGGGGCACCCCCCCGTGTCCCCCAGGACATCCCCCGTGTCCCCCCCCGTGTTCCCCGTGTCCCCTGAGACGCCCACCATGTCCCCCAGGGCACCCACCCTGTCACCCCCCGTGTCCCTCGTGTCACCCCCCGTGTCCCCCGTGTCCCCTGGGACACCCACCGTGTCCCCCGTGTCACCCCCCGTGTCCCCCGTGTCCCCTGGGACACCCACCGTGTCCCCCGTGTCACCCCCCGTGTCCCCCGTGTCACCCCCCGTGTCCCCCACCGTGTCACCCACCGTGTCCCCCCCCGTGTCCCCACCCGTGTCCCCCGGGGTCCCCCGTATCAACCCCCGTGTCCCCCGTGTCATCCCCCGTGTCCCCGCCCGTGTCACCCACCGTGTCCCCCGCCGCGTCCCCGCCCGTGTCGCCCCCCGGCCGCTCCGGTGCCCGCGGGGGCTCGGGCCGCTCCAGGCGCTGCGGCTCCCGCCCCGTTCGCCACCGGAACACCGACGAGTTCCCGTGGGACGCGACGTGGCGGAGCAGCGGCAGCGCCGCGGCCCCGGGGCTGCGGGGACAGGGGGAACATGAATGGGGACATGGGGACACGGGACAGAGAGGGGACATGAATGGGGACATGGGATAGAGAGGGACACGGGACAGAGAGGGGACATGGGACAGAGAGGGGATGGGGCCATTTCAGGGGGGTGTCGGGGCTGTTTTGGGGCAGATTTTGGGGTGTCGGGGCTGTTTTGGGGCAGATTTTGGGGTTCCAGGGCTGTTTTAGGATGGTTTGGGGGCTGTTTTGGGGAATAACAGGGCTGTTTTGGGATTGTTTTGGGGCTGTTTTGGGGCCGTTTTGGGATTTCAGACCTGTTTTAGGATAGTTTTGGGGCTGTTTTCGGGCCGTTCCAGGGCCATTTTGGAGCCGTTCCAGGGCCATTTTGGGGCCGTTTTGGGGCCATTTCGGGGCTGTTTTGGGGCCATTTTGGAGCCGTTTTGGGGCCATTTCGAGGCCGTTTTGAGGCCGTTTCGGGGCGCCAGCGCTGTCCCACCTGTCACACACGAAGGCCACGCAGGCCTGGTACAGCTCGATGGCGTCCCCGAGGGCGCTGGCGCCGTCCCCAACACGGGACAGCAGCGACGGCAGCGCCTGTGCCTGTGCCAGCAGCTCCTGGTGCACGTCCTCGCCCTGGGGACACCGCGGGGACACTTGGGGACACCGCGGGGACACTTGGGGACACCACAGGGACACTGAGGGGGACACTTGGGGACAGCTGGGAACACCCCAGGGACACTGTGGGGATACTCTGGGGACACCGTGGGGACACCCTGGGGACACTGAGGGGACAGTTGGGGACCATGTGGGGACACCCTGAGGACACCCGTTTCAGGTTCTGTTTGGGGCCATTTTGGGGCCCATTTGGGGCCATTCCTGGCCTGGTTTGGGCCATTCCAAACCTGTTTGGGGTTCCATTTGGGGCTATTCCCAGACTGTTTTGGGGCTGTGTTTGGGGCTATTCCTGACCTGTTTCAGGTTCTGTTTGGGGCCATTTTGGGGCCCATTTGGGGCCATTCCCAACCTGTTTTGGGGCTCCATTTGGGGCTATTCCAAACCTGTTTTGGGGCTCCATTTGGGGCTATCCCCGGCCCGTTTGGGGCTATCCCCGGCCCGTTTGGGGCTCATTCCGGGCTATCCCCAGCCTGTTTGGGGCTCCATTTGGGGCTATTCCCAGACTGTTTCAGGCTCATTCTGGGCTATCCCCGGCCCGTTTGGGGCTATCCCCGGCCCGTTTGGG